CAATCGCCCTACGCTGGAACACACAGCATTGTGGTGCCGTGCATTCCAGTACAGGCGATCACACTGTGGGTGGTAGGCGCGTTTGGAGTGCCATTGAAATGGATGGCACTGCAACGCACCTCCCATAGCAGAATTTGTATAGCTCCAGCCAGGAAATGACAGCTGCCAGTGGCCAAATTCCACAGATAGCAGCTTAATATAAATACAGCAGGTAGTGGGCTGGTGCAATTACGGAAAATTGTTATCTCATACTTACCGTCATTTTCCTTTCCTAGCCTATCCTCATGTCAGCATACCCATGGGGTCAGCCCCACCCCGCCCAGGACAACTGTTCTAGCTAATAAAATAGCCAAAATCAGCCCCCCTTCGTGTTCTCTTCTGGCTTGCGAAAGGACACTTCAGGAAGGGTCAAATTATGCTGACATGAGGCTAGACCAGGAAAGGAAAAGTAGGTTAAATATGAGATAACAATTTTCCGTATTCCTGGCCTCATGTCAGCATACCCATGACACATAACTAGCCAAAATTAGGGTGGGAAGCAAAATACACTCAAGAATACTGGAATAATCTGCCAGAAAAAAAGGAACAGTTTAATGGTTGTGAAGACCAGCCGAGAGAACTGCCGCTCCAAATGCGCCAGCTGAGGAGGAAGAAACGTCCAACGGGTAAAGCCGAATGAAGGTGTTCACCGATTTCCAACTTGCCGCTATACACACATCTATCGAAGACACCATTTGAGTAAGCCGCCCAAGAGGCCGCCATCCCTTTTGTTGAATGCGCGTTAAGTCCTACTGGGGAAGAAAGCCCAGCCAAGTAGGCTGCTGAATTGCCTGGACAATCCAAGAGATCACCCTTGGTCTTGCTGCTTGTCCCTTTTTTCGGACCTGAAGGGAAAACAAACAGTGCATTATCCTTTCTGAACTCTTCTGTTCTCTTCAGATACACTGACAAGAGCTCAACTAGATCCAACCTCTCCCATCGGTGAGAGTCCATCACCAGATTCTGTGAAGATAGGGCCGGCAGAAGCAACTCCCAGTTCAGGTGGAACTCTGAAGTCACTTTAGGTAAAAAAAATCAGAAATAGGACGAAGCACCACTTGATTCTCATAGAATGTGCAAAAGGGTTCTTTTGAGGAAAAAGCTGCAATTTTCGACACTCTCCTTGCTGAGACAAATCGCAGTGAGGAATACCATTTTCAGAGTGAGATGCCATATAGAGCAAGAATTTGATGGAAAGAAAGGAAGATCCATGAGTCTCTCAAGAAACACTTTTAAGCCGGATCTTCATGACTCCTTTCATGAGCCGTGAAATCAATGGATTGATTGGTCACCCGTTAAGGACGACAGCACTGAAATATGCATCTTAAGGGTACGACAACTGAGACCCAGATCAAGACCTTCTTGCAGAAACAGCAAAACCTTTGCAGAATGGAAATGGCATGAACCCTCTCCCACTGAATCTTCTGCAACACCTGAGGAATGAGGACCACAGGGGGAAATACATAGACTAGAGAGAATTCCCATGGAAACTGAAGAGCATCCTGTCCTATTGCTTGAGGACAGTGGAATCGGGAGACAGTTCCACCTCGGGATTGCCCCAAACTGCAAAAATCGGAAATAGATACTTGCTGCTCAGCTTCCATTCCCCATGACTGACAAAATTACGGCACAGTGAGTCTGCCAACTAATTCTGGGCCCCTGCTGTCAAGTCCAGAAGGTTGACCTCCGCCCACTGAAAAATCAACTTCACAATTTGGAGAAGGAAAAGACTTCTTTTGCCCCCCTTGACGAGCCAAATAGGCTACCGCTGTTCTGTTGTCCCGAAGCATCTTTACCCGTTGGCCTGAGATGAGGGACCGAAAATATTTCAGAGCCTCGTAGGCTGCCAACAACTCCTACATGATTGGATGCTTTCGAGGGAATCTGATTCCAACACCCTTGCACCTGCATCCCCTGACAGTGCGCCCCCCAACCCTGGAGACTGGCATCTGAAGTAACAATGATCCAGTCTCCAGTGTTGAGGGACTTGCCCGGGGAGAGGTTACATGGCATTTAGGGTTGAATAAAGGTCCTCCTTGGAAGTCCACCACTGAAGAGAATTTGCCACCATCTTTAGTGAGAAAAATAGGTTGACACAGGGAGCCTCTTTTCCACTGTTGAAGAAAACAAAATTGGAGACTGCGCAAATGCCACTGTGCCATGGAACCACCGGGATGGTAGAATTCAGTGTACCCAGAAAACTCATGCAACATCTGGCTTCCACAAACCTCTTCTGCATGATCCGATGAGCGAATCTTTGAATGTGAACAACCTTGTCCTGAGGTAACAAAATCCTGTTTTGCCGAGTTTTGAAAACCACCCCCATGTAACAAAGGACCTGAGTTGGTTCTAACTGGCTCTTTTGATAATTGATCAGCCAGCCAAAACGTTTTAGCGTTTTCAACACGCTGACCCCGTGAAAAGACAAGGTGTCGCTTGATGCTGCAAGAACGAGAAGATCGTCCAGATAATGGTGAAGACTAACTCCTTCAAATCTTAGATGAGCAACCAGTGACACCAACACCTTTGTGAAGGTTTGAGGGGCCGTGGCTAGGCCAAATGAGAGACACTTGAACTGAAGATGTAGTCCCTGCACCGCGAACCTCAAATACTTTTGGTAATCTTCGGCTACAATAATGTGCAGATATGCATCTGCAAGATCTATGGAAAGTAGCCAGTCGCGGTCTTGGACTGCTGATATCACCGTCTGTAGAGACTCCATCCGAAAATGCGACACCCTCAAGAAAATATTGAGGTACTTCAGGTTCGGAACCGGACGAAAACTCCCTGATGACTTGCGAACCAGGAAAATGGGAGAGTAAATCCTCATCCCTTTCTCCAAAGCTGGCACCGTACAAACAGCTTGAGTCCAACAATTCTTCTACATAAGATATTAGCGCATGGCGCTTCTCTCGCTGAGCGGGCAAAGCAGTCTTCACAAACATCTTTTTGGGTGGAGAACGGTTGAAATCCAGACGATATCAGCTGTGGACAACATTTTTCATCCAGGCATCCTTTATCTCTTCCGCCCAGACCTCCCCAAACAAAACTAAGCGTGCTCCTACAGGGGCGGCCGGGGCAGGCAAGTTCTCAGAAGGGCTTATCTGGAACCCTAGCTGACTGGGCTGGCTTGGATTTTCCGCCACGAAGAAAGGAGTTTTGAGTGCCTCTCCACGAAGTTCTAAAGTACTCCCTCCCGGGCCTTAAGAACGGGAGTCACGAAAGCCACCACGATTCATCCTTCTTGATCTAAAGAGTTGGCCCCTTTTCCTTTTATCCGGTGACCCGACTTCCCTCCTGTGACTCGTTGAATATCATCCTCCAGAGTCTTCCCAAATAAAGATCGTCCTAAGAAAGGGATGGATCCGAATCCTACAAAACAGATATGCATATCTCTAAGCCAAAAGCCTTTCCAGCTAAGCAGCTAGCAGAAAAAAACACATACCTGTTACACATTAACAGATGTGAGAGAAACTGCAGCACCTCCTCCTCTCACACTGACTGGTCTAAACAGATTCTCAGCCTTTGAGAAAATAAGAGAGCACAGGCTAGAGGAGGCTTAGCTGAAACCACCAATCAGAGCCCGGAGGCTTGGCCAAACCAGCCAATGAGAGGAGGGGGGAAGCACACATGATCGCATTGCGGAAGGAAGCTAATCGAAAGCTTCCCGCCCGCTTCTAGGCAACTGCCCGGAGTGACAACAGACGCCAACACCATGGCCCTCCTCGTGCACAACGAACAGGCTGTGAAAAGATAAGGACACACCAGCAGCCATACACCCCCATCATCCCAGCAGGTAGCAACTATTTAAGTTGTACAATACCAAGTTGCCCTGGCACAATAGGGCACGCAGCTTCAGGGCAATTTACAGGTGAAACTCGAATATTAAGAATATCGTGCAAAAGTTCATTTATTTCACTAATGCAACTTAAAAGGTGAAACTAATATATGAGATAGACTCATTACATGCAAAGCAAGATAGTTCAAGCCGTGATTGGTCATAATTGTGATGATTATGGCTTACAGCTCATGAAAACCCCAAATCCACAATCTCAGAAAATTAGAATATTGTGAAAAGGTGCAATATTCTAGGCTCAAAGTGTCCCACTGTAATCATCTAATTAACCCTTTCGCTGCCAAGGACGTACGGCATACGGAGCTACAAAAGTGCATCCAGCTGGCCAGCTCAGTATGCCGTACGGACCTGGCATTTACAGTTCTACTATAAGCTGATGGTCGCTTAACGACCATCAGCTTATAGTAGAACTTTTCAGCAGACTGTCCCCTTTAAATTAATAGCTGTCATCAGCGGCTCACAAGCCGCTGATGACCGCTA